GGAGAGGGAGATCCCTGAGCCCACAGTGGGAAGCCTGCATCTGCCCTCGCACTGCTGGGCTCCACTCTGGCTATGGTGGGGGAAAGGGGGAACAAGGAGCATGGAGGAGAAATGGACATGTGCCACCCCTTCCCTCCCAGCTGAGTCCACCCAGCCTCTCTCATGGAGCATGGAGTCCCGCCACGCCCTTGATAGCAGCAGCACCAGGAGGGGGAGGGACCCCTGCCCCCGCTGGAGTCCAGCTCCCATGTAGGACAGGGAGCCTCCAATTTTGTGTTTTCCCAGGGCCACAATAAATCATAATTCACCTCTAATCAGGAGTAACTGTACATCTCCTAACCAGTGCCTCTGAATCCCCTGATCCTTTGCCTAGCTTCTGCTGTGGACCTTGCTCAGTCCCTGCCTGAACATCTTCCTAGCCTGCCCCCTTGTTCTTAGTTCCTACCTAAACTGCCTCATAGCCTGCCCCTTGCCTTGCCTTAACCCTGCCTAGACCCTCAACTCTGGATTCCTGGGTTATGACCCTCTAACACCAAGCCAAACTCAGTATGCCCAGGTTGTGCCTATGACAGGACCCCTGAGTATAAAGTTGGGCATCCAGCAGATGAGGCACACACAATTAGTGGTCGTCTTTGGAAAGTGTAATTTAAGTAACTTGCCTAGTGGTACATATTTTGTGGTAGAGACAGAGACTGAATCCAGTTTTCCAAGAGTAGGGCTACCATATTTCCAGTTTCAAACAAGAGGACACCTGTGGGAGGAAGGAGGGGAGGGAGTATATGATGGGGGGGGCAGTGATATGCCGGTGCCCTGCTCCTGCCCCCCACTCCTAAGCCACAGCACCCCCAGCCCTGCTGCTGCCTCTCACTTCGGACCTGCAACCCCCCTGTCCCTGATGATACCCCTCACTCCTGACCCGGAGCCCCCTGTCCCTCTCAGCCCTGCCAGTGCCTCTCACTCCCAACCTGCAGCCCCCTGCCCCTTCCCCCTGCAACCCTGCTGCCACATAGCTCCCTGCTGCCCCTGAAGAACACTCCTACTCCCTGCCCCTGCTGCAGCCCTACTCCCTGCCCCTGTGGCAGGTACACACATACACAAACACACACACACACACACACACACACACACACACACACACACACACACAC